GAACTCGAAAAAAAATGGGGAGGCTTAGTTTCAAATGTTATCGCCTCAAGGTTGGTGTGTTCTGCAAAACTGAGTATTTAATTTGTTCAGGTGAAAGCAGTATACCTATAGCTTAACACAGGGAGCATGTTTCCTTCCTTTAAAAGGAAATCCTACTGAAGGAAACATATCTTTTAATATAAGCAGTTTAAGAAGGTCTTCAGTGAAGTATTCTTATAAGCTCTGTGTCTCAATATACGTGAAAATTTAAATGCAGGTACAGAAAGAACAAAGGAGGCTGAAACAAAGAAAATGGAACTAGGCAGATCAGATGGCTTTAAATTAACACTTGAAAACAGGTATTGGAGCCAGCAAGATGAAGAGAGACATGGAAAAACTATAGGTGCAAAATGGGATGTTCTTGCATGTAGGACTGGACAGCTTGGTAAAGGCCAAAGAAGGCAAGAAAGCAAAAATACACATTAAAAAAAAAAATTAAAAAGATGCACTTGAAAGATTTGAGTCAAGAAGGCAACAATATGAAAGAGAATAGACTAGAAGATTAAAAGAAGCAATATTGTCATTCAAAAGGTTTGAATGACTAGGAGTCTGAAGAGGAAATCTCAGGTATACCTGTACCTACTGGAGAATGTACACATAAAGAACCCACTGACCCAAATCTGCCTTGCAAACAAGTTGGCTGCAGCATATTAACAAGCTCCTTTTCTTATGTAAAGGCAACTTTTATTGGCAACCAAGTATGTCTTACAATACTGCTTCTTTGGGGGAACAAAAGTTAGACTGATAAAAGCACCTCTGTAGCACTAGACTTAAAATTGCTGTGTAATTGGAGATTTTTCGTAATAGTTTCTCATCTTGTCCTGGTTATTAATGTGACTGTTGGTTTGACTTAGGAACTGCATGGAAAGAAAGGAAAAGATAGGTGAAGAAAAATCGTTTTTCTGTCTTTACTTGTAAGAAAATTGCAAATAACTGATGATTATTAAAGATCCTCTTATAACATGGGTCAAAATGATAGTAACTTCCAGTTTTTAAATTTTCTGTAAAGAAAGGCAAAAGTTATTTAGGAAAGCTAGGCATAAAAACTGCTGTCGAGGTGTCCAAGCAGGCCAGCTTTTTTGGAGGCTGATAGCGCTTTGGTTGTGCATGTAGACAGTTTCAGAAATCTTTGTTGTCTGTGCTACCACTAACATAAACAGTACTTCTGTAAGAAGAAGACTTCGTGGCCTCTCGAAGGCACTCAGTGACTGAGAACCTCAAACAGGTGAAAATGGCATAGATATTCTGGGTAAATTCACCTGGTTCACAGGGAAGCCCAGGCCACATCCCAGTCTCGCAGCCGGAGAACAGGGAATGCCTTGCTTGGAAAAAGGACAACCAGCAGCACCGCAGCCGGGGAGTCTGGGAAGGAAACAGAGATGCAGATGACCCAGTATTTGGTCCATTCGTTTCCTTGAGAGGGGATTTACTGTTTTACTATTTTAGCTTATGCTGGTTCTCCAAATGCAGCAAGTTATACAATGAACACTGTTTTATGCCAGTGTAAGCATATTTACATTTGGGCTTCTGCCACAGAAACTCCTTTTTAAAAGGAAATCAGATCTCGTGTTTCTGTGCAGGCATAAGTTTCTCTTGGCTTAAGCTCATGAAAAATACATACAGTTGCATATTGTCCACTAAAAAAATAAGAGTAAAGTTCGAAATAAGGTGACTGAAGACAAAGCGTAAATCCGAAGAGGAAAATTGTAAGCGAATTCTGTAGGTTTTTAAGACAAAATATCTGGGTTAGAAGAAGAAATCTGAGGGGCCCGATCCTCATATATATGAATGCATATGCATTTTTTCATATTCTTGTTAAGCTGTTTGTTTTGATGTCATCATATATTATTAATTTTATTTTCTTTAAAGGAATCTGACATGTGAAATGTATGTATATCCATACATAAATTAGCCTTAGCTAAAAATGAATTTAAACAGTTTGTATATTAGCAGTAGCATTAGAAGTTCAAATATTTTTGCATAGGATTTTGCATAAGGACTGAGGGAATAATTCTAAGAAACCTATTTTGTGTGGAGTCTTTCTGAATTTTATATTTTAATTTCCTAAAATGGTTTTTGTCTGGGTTTTTTTTTGTTGCTTTCTCAAAGAGCTGGCAGCTGTAAACCTAAGGGTAGGCTGCAAAGTTTTTCTTCCAAAGCCTTCCTTTCATGTTTAGCCAAGTGAGAGACACGGAGTGAAATGTAAACTCCGTCTCAGCGTATCCGCATGGCCTTCTCTCCTGGTGAACAGCCGGAGGGGCAGAAGGGGGCTGAAGCTGCCCAGGGCTGCTAACCACAAGGCCCCGAAGGCACCAGCCATGAGCCGCGGCTCCCAGGTTGCTTGGAGGAGGAGGAACGTGCAGATGGTGCTTGAGGGCCCTTGATACCGTACCCCTGAGGACAGCGCTCCCCATCGCACCCGCTCCTTTTCACTTCATCCTCCCCCGGGACAGAAGGAGAAGGCATTCGCTTTACTTCTCTTGCGAGTCGTTTAACCGTTTCTCTTTCATCCCTGGCAGTCTGACTGAGAGCGAAGTGTGTGATTCGTTGAACTTTGTTCTGTTTGAAATTACGGACTGGAACCGTTTTTATTTAACATGGGGAACAAGTTTTGCAGAAACTCAACCTATATGCTGGGAAAGGAGCTTCCTATAAAATATAAACAGGTGTTTGTACATTTGAGCGAAGGTTTGTTCCTGGGAGGCTTTGTGCTAAACTGCATAAATGCAATATCGAGTTCTAACAATTAAATGATGACTAACTGATGAGTTTGATCACTTTGACATGATATTTTTTCCCAACTGTATTTTATACACACAGCTAATATTAAAGTTCTTTCTCAGTACGGGGACATAGAAAGCTTTCTCCCCGGACAACAGGGTGATTCCTGGGAGAACTCCAGCTATTCCCTCCAGTGCAAGAGAGACGCGTATGTCTTGTAGTAGCCATAATTGCTTGGGGCCCTTTTTCTACAAGTAATTCCTTGGCTCGTAATCACTGAAGGGCTGTAATTTTTTTGATTTGTTTGTTTGTTATTGGGATGGAAATGGATAGCAAGCAGTGTCTCCTCTCTTGTGTAGAGGTGTGTTTCTTCTGGCTTCCAACCTGCCCTCTCCCCCCCAGTTCTCTCTCTGCAGTTGTCCCTACTGCATCTACACTGACTGCTTCCTTCATTCTGTCTGTTTACTCTGCAGAGAGCATGTAGGACTAAAAAATACATACATACAGTATTTTTTAATTCTTCTGTTGTGGCCATGAATTTCACCCTCAATCAGTTGGGGCCCACAAATTCTCTAGTTGATGTCTTAGTCTTTTTCCCTATCTAGGTTTATACAGAGTATGCCAGTGGTGTTTACATTCTGCACTGATGCAGTTAAGTGTGATCATAAAGAAAAATATTGTTTGCTTCAGTCTGAAGATCACCAGTTTTTGTGAACAATTGCATGGATCCTGCTAATAAAATAGTTCTAGTACCCATCCCAGATGCAGTAGAAGGAACTGTGATTTTCCTGTATTCATAAGTAAATCATACTCATCTGTACGTATGTATATACATACAGTTTTCCTTTGACTGTTTGGTATAGAAAGAAAATTATTAAATAAGCTAATCTTTAAGATATTATTTATCCATTCATTAAATTATTAATTTGTTTATAAAATCATACACAAAAATTAAAGATTTCCAAACAAATTGGATTGTATTGAAAGACAAAATTTTAAATGTTAAATGGAAATGAATTATCAAGCACTCTGCCTTCTGACCAATGAGACAGACTCGAAGTGGTAGTTCCTTCTGAGAATTTCCTTGCATTGTGTGTGTACCTCTTGAGATATTGCAAGAGCAACTCCAATTTACAATCTGAGCTGGAGAAGACTTGAGAGGAGAGACATACCATGGGATAGATGTGGCAACTAATATCACCAACATTGAATTTCATTTAAATTTGCCTATTCCGTAAGGGATAGCATTAAAGATGTGAAATACTGTGCTGTAGTTGCTATGCTGTCTTTGCTATGAAAAGACTATCTTAGTAATGCAGGTTACTGCTGTTTGCATCATTGAGGGGGCTCCCCTGTAGGTATTTAAAGTTGGAGAGAAAAGAGAGTTTTGAAGGCAGTTTTATGGCTCACTCTTGCAAATGTGGAGGCACAGACGGGGCAAGTAAAAAATAATACCTGCAGCGTATATAAGGGAGGATGACACAGTATTATATTGTAATCCTTCTGACGTGCATTCAAGAGCAGCACCAATGACCTGTAGTTTTCAGATATTATGGAGGAATCAAGTGAAGAAAACCCAAGGGTACGCACCTTCAACAGATTTTTTTCCAGTAATTCTTTTTAGCTGTGTTTTTAAATAAATAATTAAATTAAAAAGGTTGTTCCAGGATGAAATATCTCACCTCTAATAAAGTGAGATTTGTTTTTGAAGCTGAAAAACACCTCCCTTATGTCCTCATCCTTAGCATTCTGTGCCCATGAAATAAATAGGGTGAGGAAAATAATAAGAAAGTCAGGCAGAAAACATGCCTTAAAGGTCTTATAGCAAATTTGTTGTTCTAGTGCTGTATTTTCTTGCAGCATTTTTCTGTCAGATCTCTCAAGTGGTCAGGATACTTTGCAGTTTGTTTGTTTGGGTTTTTTTAATGTTTAAGCTTAGTGAATTAGTACATGAGGGTTAAAGTATTATGGTTTTTTGCCTCTCTTGTGTCTAGCAATGTTGTAGCATTACTGAAAATCATAATGAAATTTAGGGGGATATTAAGACTGTATAGAACTGAAGCTCTTCCTACACATTTGGGTAAAATCAGTAGAATCACTGCCATAAAATAATTATATTGTGTATAATTTTACTTTGCAATTTTATAGAGTTTCATTCATAGTCTCCCAAAGAATGTAATGTAAATTCTATTTGGTTATACTCATCTAATTCTAGTGATTTTTTTCTTCTTCTTCTTTAGGGTGTACCTCAGTTACCATGTGCCAAAGCATTGTATAACTACGAGGGGAAAGAACCTGGAGATCTTAAATTCAGTAAAGGAGACATCATCATTTTGCGTCGACAGGTGGATGAAAATTGGTATCATGGAGAAGTCAATGGCATCCATGGCTTTTTTCCTACCAATTTTGTTCAGATTATTAAACCTTTACCTCAACCTCCGCCTCAGTGCAAAGCACTTTATGACTTTGAAGTAAAAGACAAGGAAGCAGATAAAGACTGTTTACCATTTGCAAAGGTAAAAACAGAATAAAATTATTATTTCTTTTAATAATTTCATACACTTGGATAAGAAATAATTAGACTGTCTGCATTTTTTTAATGGAACTGCACAAATATGGAAAGGGCAAGTAATTCTGCAGGTATTTCTCCTATGTTGATTAGTTTTGCCTTCTCTTCCTAAATTACATATAATTTCTCTGAGGTTTGATTTTTGAGAATGCAATTTTTCATAATTGCAGTAGTAATGCTCTTAATTTATGAGACATAACCTATGTTATGAATTAAAAGTGTTCCATCTTCTAAAGAAACACTCATTTTAAATTGTTGAAGTTGGTACTATTTTCAGCTTTGCATTTAGTAAGCAACATTTTTAGGATCTAGATACGAGACACAAAGTGCTACTAAACTTTGTCATTCTGAAATATTGCTAATTGCCTTTTGGAAAATATGATGTTTCTTCTTATATTGTTTCTATTGTAATTAATTTTCTGTCTTGCAAGGCACATAATGATAAAGAGTTTTAACATGAATCAGAGCTGTTCCTTTTTTTTCAGTTTCTGATTCTTTAGTTTACCAGATTGCACAAAAATGTTGCAACATCAAATGTGAGCTAATCGCTTTTCTACCCTTGCCTATTAAAAATGAAAAGGATGGCTAAAATTCTAAAAAGGAAAGATACTAACATGTGGACAGACAATGCTTATTACAACACAGAACAGCAATACTGTTGAGAATGATTGGCATTAGCTTGCATATTTTGATTAACTTGTTGGCAAACTGTTTTTTGTTTTTTTTTTTAATCTGCAGTCTCACTTGAGTAAGCATATATGTTTCCAAATATTTTAACTTGCATATGAAACAACTATGTATCTCAGTATAAGCGAGAGCAATGTTTAATGTGCACGTAAATCCTTTTTTTATGTAACATTCTCAAAACCATATCTAATCCAAACGCTCCATGTAGATGTGAAAGAAATCATATCACTTACCAGTGTTCTTAAGTAGAAAAGCAAGATCTAGGGAAGATTAGGTAATGAGTCAGTTGAGAAGGACGAAGATTGAGGTTCTGTTGATTAATGCCAAGGACTTAAAGGGGGGCTGATGAATACCATGGACTGAACACGGCAGGAAGTCTGGCACTAAGGACAAATCTCAGTTGGCTGAGATTAGCTGTGGACAGTTAGCTGAACTCTGACAAAATAGGAAAAGGAACTGCTGGAACAGACTTCAACCCCAAAAGCGGCATGTTCCTGTTTCGGAAGGCCTTCTCTGCGGTTGTTGTCCATGTACCGCCTTCTCTGATTACCCATGCGTTATGGAGGGAAATTAAATTAGAAGTTTAATTAGAGCTGGGAGACATAATCACTGCATGTTCACACAGGATGATGTTCTGACTGTAATTCGCCGCGTGGATGAAAACTGGGCAGAAGGAATGCTGGCTGACAAGATAGGAATATTTCCAATTTCATATGTTGAGGTGAGTAAAGTTGGGCCCTCAGTAAGGTTGTGCCCACTGTGCATTTCGTTTTCTAAAAGGAAAAATAGTCAGTACCGGTGATGATTCTAAAATAACCTGAGATGTAAATAGTCTCAGACCTAAAATAATCTAAGATCTGTGTGCTTAGTTTGAGAAAGTTAATTCCCTCAGCAGTTGAACCAGTGATTTTTACTTAGCTATTTGATACCTGTTTTCATTGAATGGAATTGGAGTGAAAGTACTTGGAGGCAGTCACTGTGTTTTCTTGTTAATACTGAAGTCATGCAGTCAACCACAAACCACACTTAACCGTAAAATGAAAGCAATCAGCAAGTCGGAGAAATAGTAAGCTTTGCGCTGTCCCTAATACCTGCCTCTCAAAACCAAATTGCACAACTAGAAAGTCAGAGAATATAGGCTGTTGTTAAGCAGGTAAAGCATTGACTTTTACATCCAAAAGACCCTTGTATAAAATCTTCTGTATCTTCCTGCATTTCTCATATGTGATATGACATTTTACAATGAGGGGTAGCAGTTGAGAAAGTTTCCCCAACCTTTTAACAATTGAAAGCTACATCTTCTATCTAGAAGGACATATGTGATTAAGAACAGTGTGTACAGCTGCAACAATGATTATTAAAATTTGCATTACAGAAAGATACAGAGGTTTGGAATAGTGTCTGTCTTTTTCTGATAGGTATGCTATGGATACTTGGTAAGATACACTTCTCCCACTGAAGAGATTTTATTTAAATAAGTGAGGCAGATCGATGAAAGCAAAAAGTATTTTCATATTACCTGTGGGATGAGAAATATGTACCTCAGGTCACAGAAGAAATGTATAACCATACTCAGAATCAATTCAGGTTTTATTAATGCAATTTCTGAATGCCCTGATGTGATGGGAAATTTTTAAAAAATGATTGTGTTCAACCAACATAGAATTTTTTTTTTTTTAAAAGGAAAAACCTGTATATTCATTTTTATAGGTTGATGTAAGGATCAAGTTGATGTAAGGATCTGTATATCTGGGGATAGAAATTTTCACATGACTGAAAAAACCAACAACAAAACCAAAAGGGTTTCAACCTGCTTTGTGCAATTCTGGCTTCAGTTTAAGAAGTTTTTAAAAGCCAGTTTAAGAAGTTCTTGCCCCTGGCTCTTCCTAGCTCCTTGCAGTTAACTGCCCCTTCAGTTCAGCCGGTAAAGGTTTTTGTGGTGCTTTTTAAAACTAAATCACTTAGCCGAGTTAGAAAAAGCCCTTTCCTAGGGCTGCCACTTGGGATAACTATTTAGCTAACAAGTCTGTTTCCATCTCTACAAAAGTTTGCAAAATGGAGATATACGCCTGAAAAAAATTATGTAAAAGTGATAGTCGGTCACAAAATGTACTTCGCTGTTGGCGTTTTCAGACAAATTCCATCAACTAAGAAAATGTATCTTCAATTAACCCTTTTAGAACAGCCACAAGCACTTATGTACACACTCGCAAATCCCCACTAAAATGATATGGGAAATCTAGAATGATAAATAATATCCAAAGAGATACTTCAGATCAGACAGGTGTTTTTTTTTTTTTATTACATACTAAACCGTAACACATGCTGTGGTGAAAAGCAGTGAGAGATGCAGAAAACTGTCAATTTGAATTTTGAAATACCTGTTTTCTGAGATTATATAACTATTGTTCTGGAAAACATGCAGACAGTTGATAACAAATATAACAAGTATATCAAACCATTGTTACGTATGGTGTTATTAAAGACACCGAAGATGAGAAGTAATTAATATTTTTTAGGTATTTTTTTATATGGCATTTTTAGTTATATTTCCCAATCCTGTAATTATTGCCTATTTTTGTCATAATGACAGACATATCTTTGCCTTGTGTATGTCAGTCCACAGCCTCTTTTTTTTTTCTTTTAAAAATGTGAATTAGTAGCTGCATTTACTGGAGATATTCTGAAGTCGTTAACTTTAAAATGAGTGTAGTCTGCGATGTTTATTTTGTGTAGGTCTGATACTTGCGATGTTTCTTGTACGACGAGGTCACAGCATAAACCTTACGTATGTTGAAGTCCATGAAAAACTCTGATTATATTTGAGGACAACTTTTTAACTGGAGGAACATTTTATGATTCAATGATTGCTAATCTGCTCTATTCTTTTATATCGCTTTCACTTACTGAATTTGTGGTAATAATAAAAGCTAAGACTGAAAACATTTTGAGAGGAATTTTAATAGTGATTCCGTTAAAAGTATAGTTTGTTAACTGAGTCACAAAACATTACGTCTTTATCTGTAAACACATAGCACTGTGAAAAAATTACTTCTATCTGCAAATGAAAAATAAATAATGCAAAACATAGCAAAAAATGAAATTCTACTTTCTAAGAAGTGCTAAAACCAAACAAACGCTCTTACTAGAGTAAGATCTGATTAGCATATCTAAATTACTAGACTTTTGACTGATTGAATTTCAACATGCTTGCATTAAAAGCAGGTCAACCAGGTTCTTGCACAGTGACGAATTAAAATGCAGTGAGTCTAGAAACTCATATGATTAAGTTCATAACACTTATGTTTATCTCTGTTCCAAAAAGAAAGATTAATCAGAACTAAACAGATAGTATTAGGATTTTTCTATGTGGAGTACATTTCTGGGTACAATATACATTTCTTAGAAAGACCTAAAATTTGACAATTTTTGGTGGTTTAGCACTTAGTAAACACACTCCACATCTAAAAAGTATTTAAATTTTTACAAGTTATTCAGCACTTATACAGAACAACTAGAAAAATACAAACGCCCAGAGTAGAAAAAGAAAAATCAGGGAAAAGGAATCACTTTTCAATCAAAATGTCAGTAGAAAATAATGACAGCTTTTGTTTTCCCAAGTTAACGTGAACAACTGGGAAACACCTTTGTACTAATCCAGCTCCTCTAGCTTATAAACAATCTTATAGAAATGTAAGGGGAAAAAAACCCCAAACGATCTAAAAATTCACTGTAGTAGAATTTTAAGTTCATTGGCATTTTATACTACTGCATCCATCAGTTAACATGACATTTTAATCAATGAGAACATATGATTTTATGTACCTAGTGTGTGAGGTTGGGGGTTTTTATTAGCCTCTCCTTCTGTACCAAACAGGAGTGTTTCAAAACATATTTATCCAGTTTTAGATTGGATTTTAGGCTGGATTTCTAGCATGGTCTTTTTAAGGTTGTACTTAATAGGCTAAACTTTGTCTATCACTGTTAAATGATGTGGTCTGATTTAAAGTGCTTAGAAAAAAAAAAATCAGACTTTTGTAACAATACTAACTCAGAAGAATAAGAGAAAACCTTTTATGGGAACTTTCCTCTAGTTTTTGACTGTTTTGCCTGCCTGGACCTTAAAACAGAAAATTTATGTAAAAAGTGAATGTTGTATATTATGCCTGAAAACAGAGATTGTTAATTTTGAGTAGAAAATTATGGTCTAATCCCCAGTATATTTGAATGTGATAATCTCAATGTTATCATTCCAATGACAATTTCTGAGCATCATAGTTTTGATTAACTTCCCTAACAAAAACTGCAATGCAGAACTATTTCATTTGTTTAAAAAATTAATATAAACGCATTTTTGCTCATGATTGTGATCTGTTCAACGTTTGCGAAATTATTCTTCCGCTCGTTTGGACAAAATACATTTGTTGTGAAACTTTAACTGCAAATCTGAATTTAGGTTTCTAAGCTATTGCCTATCCTCCAGGATGATGCTTAGCAAAAAATAATAACGTCAAATAAGGACAATGTTTACCATGTGGAAAAATAACTCCTTGACGTATGGTGATGTAGTAAAATTGCATAAATAAAAATTTTGGATGAACATGAATAGAAAAATCATTTGAGGGAGAAGGTGGTGTTTTCACTTAATTTCAGAAAATGATGCTATTTAAATTCTAACTATCTATGTGTGAGTGAAGAACACCTGAATTCATTTGTAAAGTAAGTATAGTAAAGCACAACTCTAAGAGGCCTTGAAATAGGTGTTGCATGGTAGTCTACTTGATAATTTCTCCAGATGGCGGCAAGCAGGCAGAAACCTGTCCGGTAGCCTTGACCCCTACTGCAGCACTGAGATGCGGCTCAGCCGGCTGCCTCTGTCTTGCCCCGTTTGGAAAGTTGTTCTGTTTCCTGGGTTTTGGTGGGAAGGGGAATTGGATTTCAGGCTACCTGTTACAGCAAAGATTTTGTTGAATGGAAAAAACAAATAAGTGTGAACGTAAAAGTTAAGTAAAGAAGCTTCAGTTCAAATACATCTGTTCGGGAAAACAACTGATGTAGAAAATGTGGGAATAGATACAGAGGTATTTGTTGCAGAAAGGAATGCTGTATTGAAACACTTTATAGCATGAGTGGGATGCATTCCCATGGTGACCTTCAATGGTTGCTAGCCGTTTCATTAGAGAATGCATGCAAGTTCTTCATTTCTCTTCTCAAGGAAGAAGTAAACTGCACTCTGCAAAGTATTTTGCCACTATTACTGTCCTCAGGTTGCTTCTAAGAAAAGGCCAGTAATCAGTTCACTTCCATGTTAAGGTTCGTGCTATGTCCTGTGCTTTTTTCTCTACATAAGAAAGCTCAGTACGTTGCTTATATTTGAATCAGTCTTGAATCAATCCCATGGGCGAGCCTTAACTTTTCTCTAATAGGTTGTTCACTGTATAGAAGTAATCAGATTCTGCAGGCATTAATAGCTTCAGGAGGTAAACAAACATACTTAGGTGTAACAGGTACCTCAGGGTACTTTTAGCAGGGTGGCTTTTGGTTTTGTTTTTTACTCCTGGATGATCCCTTAACTATTCTTATTAGGTAGTTCTTGTTTTAGAAATGAGTACTGCTTTTCTTTCTCTGATCTGTGTGCTTTGTGAACAGGCTCTTTGCTAAATAAGGGAGTAGATTAGGTAAGAATAGAAGTGGTTGCAGCCATTGTATAAGACAATATGGAATACACAGATTCTCAGGAAGAGTATGAAGAATTTCAATCTGAGTTGGAAAAAATAAAACGTGCAAAATACATAAAATGATTAGTCTTTGAAAAGCCTGCGTGTTCTTCCATGATGAAGGATAGGACCCTGACAAGATGAGTAGCAGAGTAGGCTTTCTTTGGTTTATTTTCTACTTGTTTCGTATCCTTAGCCTCATATTAGTGTTCTGTGATAAAATAATGTTGTTTTCACCGGTCTGTTAAAAGTATGTTCGCTCAAAATTTAAAATTTAATAAATAAATAAAAAAATCCAAATAATGGGCTTGCAAGTTAATTGGAGAAAGCTGTATGGTTATGTCTTCTGTACTACTCAAGTCGTACAAAACTATTTTGTCCGTATGATCCATGTCCAGTATTAGCAGGAAGGAAAATCTAACGTCCACCTTTTTCTTAGGAATGTTTACTACTGTGACCTTGTCTTCTCCTATCCTTCCTGTTCTCTTCAGCTGCCTTCTAAAGGACCAACAATAAGAACATTTAGGAAAAAATTCTACATTCTCATCTTCGTATCCTTTTTCAAATCCCCCATTATGCCCCTCTTCCACTGCAGTATGTTCTAGGTAGTTCTTCCTCTTCAGGCATTTCATAATTTTAATTTTCCTGCTGTTACATCCTAGCAGGTTTTTATGTCAATTCCTCATTGTTCCAGTAGTTCTAGTTTTGAACTTTGTTTGTCTGTTTCTTCTGTATATGCATGGAATTTCCTTCCAGATCTCATCTTTCAAGTACCACTTGAAAACCTTTTCTGTATTAAAAAAATACATATTTTTTATTCTTTTGTACCACTTTATATATATAGCTACTTGTCCTCAGAGATACGGAAGTGTTCAGGGTATAAACTGTTATCATTTGTGGGAGCTGCATTTAAATTGGTGTTGATGCTATCAGATTAATGATGTGTTATTCGTCTAGTAAAGTTTTGATGGGGTAAAATACTGCTTTAAAACTCTTCATGAGCATAGTAGGTATCTTAATTCTTGTGGAAAAATGGGTAAAATAAATAGAAGAAATAATATGCTGAAGAACAGAAATAGTATTTCCGCAGTAAGTATTATTCTTTCATCCTGATGTTCTTCAGAAAAGATTTTTCCCCTCTTCGTAATTGGTTACACTTATCCAAGTAACAGTATTCATATTTAGTGGTACATATTAACATTAGTTAACTTGTTCAGAAAACTGGTGCTGGTGTTATTTCAGCTCATGAATAAATGAGAGTTCTGACATTATTATTTCCAATAGCTCTAAAATATAAATAAGATTTTCTGGAAATAAAGGGTTTGTGAAAAATGTAGGGTTTTTTGTTTGTTTGTTTGTTTTCCCCTCTCTTACATAGCTTGCATTTCATTGTAAGAAGAAAATGTGTGGGATTCCATATTTCTTCATTGGAAAGGAAGGATTTTTTTGCATTTAATATAATATTGTTGTAACAAATTAACAAATAGAAAATGTCATTGTGAACAAAAATTCATTAGCTAAGCTTAAAAAAAGAAAAATCCATTTGCAAGTTCTTAGGCACAGAGATGCTGTCTCTGCATTAGAAAATTCAGAAGGTGAAAGATATTTCCACAGAATTGCCAATACGTTTCTTTTCTCCTTATACTGTCTTATGCTTGAATAGCTACTTGTCATCAGGCTGATCTAGCTGGATCTTTAGTCTGTCCTGCTATGTTCTTAAATCTGCATTTAGGAAGCCTGTTTTTTACTACTGGTAGTGTTAAAGATATGTGCATAAATAACAAGGGATACTACGAGGAATGTCTTCAAGAGCCCACATGCGAAAGTGTGGGCTTATGTTGTACTTACGAACAGAACAAAAAAGGCATAAAATGAAATGAACATTCAAGAAATTTCGCAATACAGATTTTTATATTATAAGGTCAAAGGGGACCACTGTGATTTAGTCTGACTTCTAGATAACACAGGCAGTGGATATTGCTGAATTAATCCATGGCTGGACTAGAGCATAATGTCCTTTCTTGATTGAAATCTTACCTCGGATGGGTAGTCCACACCAGCCCAACAGTAAGTGTGTTGAGTTTGTAGTGAAAATCTTGTCACTCTGTAATGACTAATTTGTAGAGTAGGTCAGTATGTCACAGTTCTAAGTTGCATGGTTTAAATTCTGTGATATTATGAATAAAAGGAAGGCTTTTTTTTTCTTATATTCAGGTGATTTTTATAAATAAAAAAATACTAATGTGTGACTATCTTTTGTAGTTTAATACAGCAGCCAAACAGCTGATAGAATTGGATAAGCCCTCAGGTTCTGCTGTTGACTCTGGAGAAGGTACCTCTGGGGCAGCCCACAACAATTCAACCCAAAAGCACACCGATACTAAGAAAAACACCAAAAAACGGCACTCTTTTACCTCCCTCACTATGTCCAACAAGTCTTCACAGTCTTCTCAGAATCGCCACTCAATGGAAATTAGTCCTCCTGTCCTCATCAGCTCCAGCAACCCAACCGCAGCAGCCCGCATAAGTGAGCTGACGGGACTTTCCTGTAGCGCCCCTTCTCAGGTAATTTACATGAAATCAAATATAAATCATGTGTGTATTTTTTTTTAAATAACTATAGAGGCTTCTGATCTTGTCAGATTATTACTTCAAATTATTAATTATATGTAATTAACATTAAAGTACACTTTCACGAAGTTTATCTTCCAACATGAGAGCATTTAAGGAAAACATTTTACAACACTTCTTATACAATGATAGCAAATATTTTTGGTCTTGTAAGCTAATTTTTTTCATAGTTGTTAATTTCTTAAGTGCCACAAAGATTTTTATTAAACTGTGGAAACTAGAAACTGGAGTGATTTAATTTCTTGGGTTTTTTCTAAATTGAATATAATATTGGATATTAATAAAGCGCATGCAAGTAAAAGGTAAATTCAACTTGAAAATTACGTGAATTCCAGGAATGTACCATATTAATCTGATTGTGATAAGTAGAAATATTTATCTGGCTTTATTTATTTGTAATCTCCTGTTTCGTCAAAGCTTTTAGTTACAAGCTCCACTAGTTTGTGAACAATTGTCTGTTTCACATAGAGATCACATTTTGGGAGAAGAGATAGCAATGGAGACTAATAAGTGTTGGTGTCATTTTACATGAGCTAGTAAATATGTTTTATTTGCATGTCTTTGGGATCTGACAGCCTTTTATGGAAAAAAAGAAAACTGACATTGGTAGAAGTGTATTTCACATTGCTAGTTCAATATATCTCCAAAGTTTCTGAAATGTCAGGGGGAAAAAAAAGAGTGAGCAGTGTGATCCAATACTGTTTGTATGAGTATTTAACAAAAAATTAGTTCTAGTCTAAAGTTACAGATAGTAGAGTACTGATGATTTTGACCATGAAGCTTACAGCTGTGTCAAAACCAGCTCTTATTAAACTACTCAGAACTGACTCTGCTGGGTTTTTTTTCTTTGACAGGTTCATATCGGTACTACGGGGCTAATTGTGACTCCTCCCCCTAGCAGCCCAGTCACAACAGGGCCTTCATTTACCTTCCCATCAGAAGTTACCTACCAAGCTGCTCTTGGTGTAAGTACTGCGTAAGAAAACTCAGCCCTCCCATTTATTTTTGGTCTGTAGTGTCTTTTTTTTTTTTTCTCAAGTTCTGATACACTGATTTGAAATGATGATTTTATGATGATTGTCTATGTGGTAGACAATGGAATAAATTGAACTACAGCAAAATCATTATTGATACACTAGTGTTTGCATCCTGTCATGCATATCCATTTCTCCAGCTTTCCTCTGTCATTTCTTTGTAGTAAACACAAGAAGCACACTTCCTTCTAGAACAGTGTTTCTTTTCAGCATGAGTAGGTAAGAGATTATGCTGGGGGGGGAGGTTAGGGGAAAGAAGCAAGATCTTACAAAAAAACCATCAGCTTGAGACCACAGCTGCCAGGTATTTCTGTCTTGCTTAACTCAATATTAAGATTCTCTGAAATAAGTTTCAAAACTCTGCTTTCTCCTAATTAAATAAGATGATTTTTGTTGTGTGTATGCCTGTGGCAGATGAAGAACATATCTAGCATGTCCAAGTTAGGTTCTTGGAGATCAATATGAAAACCTGTTGCAAATGGCCATCTTTTAGAGGAAGGGATAGATTGCAGTGCTGTTTCCTTTGGACAAAGAAAATTACATTCTCTTCAAAAAGTGCAAGATTTCATTCCAAAACCAACTGAAATTCTTTATCTTGCTATGTTTGTGGTGGAGAAGCTCTGGAATGTCCTATATCATACCGCACTTATCAGAGCCTGACCTTGACTGCAGTAGAGGTTGTGGATACCAGTTTTCAGAGATCTTCAAGGGAACTTAATAAGCCTTGATTTTGATCATAGGAATTCTCGAAATTTAATTCTTGTTTCAAGTCCAAAAATTGTGCTCCTAATCTTTTGGGGGGCGGCACAGTTGAATAATAGTTTAAAAAAGAAAAACAAAAACCAAACCACTAAAAAAACCCCCAACAAACAACCCAAACAAAAAATCCCAAGGCTTGATCTTGTTTAGGTGTCTAATTATCCTTGCAGTCTTTTAAAGGAAGTAAAACATGATGAATAGCCTTGCTGCTAAATTTGTCTGGTTTTGTTTTCAACTTTCGGCACTTGGGTCATTTTACACATTTGTCTGCAAAATTGAAGGCAGAATTGTCTGTCTTCTATTATCAACTTTTTGTTGTTTAAGTAAATGCTCAGGTGTGGCTTGGTCACAGCTGAGAGGCTGCATTTTGACAGCATTCTTTGGGACTCTTAAGTTACATTTTTCAGTCCTTAAAATTATGATGCTATTATTCTCTGAATTATCTCCAGTACTTCCTTCTGGCATGGTAAGCACATGGTAAGCGCATTCCAGAACTGGGTACAGTACTGCACGGTCATTTTCAGTGATGAAAATATTGATAGTATGACCCTTTTACTTCTATCCTGTTAGTCTGATGTTTATATCTTGAGAATTTGCATCCATTCATTTGGCCTGAGTGTAGCACAAAGTTTACGTTCAGCTAAATATCCACCATGATCCCACAAATTTTCATCATCAGTAATGATGTAATAATTGCTCTCATCCAAGTAAATGTATTTTACATTCTTTGTTCTTCAGACAGATGACCTTATTATTGACAGTTATACAGAGAGTGTGCTTTTGCCCTGTCTTACTGAATAATGGAGGTTGTGCTGTAGCAATGCTTTGTCCTTTTATTGTTAACGACTCCTTCAATCTGTGGATCATCTGTGCAATCCTACTGTTAAATGTATGTTAATCTCGAACCAATTAATAATCTCCTTATATTTAGATTCATATTTTAATGAGGTTGGAAGGGACCTCTAGGAGGTCATCTAGTCTAACCTCCGTGCTCAAGCAGGGCCACCTAGAGCCAGTTGTCCAGGACGGTGTCCAGATAGCTTTTGAATGTCTCCGAGGACGGAGACTCCACAACCTCTCTGGACCACCTGTGCCAGTGCTCAGTCATCCTCACAGTGAAAAACTGTTTCTGATATTCAGACTGAACCTCTTGTGTTTCAGTTTCTGTTTCACTGGGCACCACTGAAAAGAGCATGGCTCCGTCATCTTTGTACCTTCCCTTCAGGTACTTATATACATTGATGAGATCCCCCTGAGCCTTCTCTAGGCTGAACAGTCCCAGCTCTCTCAGCCTTTCCTTATAGGAGAGATGCTCCAGTCCCTTCATTATCTTAGTGGCCCTTCGCTGGACTCTCCAGCACGTCCATGTGTCTCTTATACTGGGGAGCCCAGAACTAGACACAGTACTCCAGGTTTGGCCTCATCGGCACTGAGGAGAGGGGAAGGATCACCTCCCTTGACCTGCTGGCAAGAGTCCTCCTAATGAAGCCCAGGATACCATTACCCTTCTTTGCCACAGGGGCACATTGTTGACTCATGTTCAACTTGGTGTCCACCAGGAAGGATCCCCAGATCCTTTTTTTGCATACGAGGTGTACATCTAATACTGGAAACAATTAGCTGTTTATGTACTTATCCATGTAAACTTTTATACTTCTTTCATCCTGTCCTTCAGAAAATACCTGTGAGAACTGAGCAAACAAAATCAGTTTTGTTATCATTTGTGCTGTTAGGCAGAATACAAGTCTAGCTAACATATATGCTGCAAACATTGAGTAATTTATTTGATTTGTGGATGAGATATATTTTGGAGAAGATGGAGTAGGCAGGATTCAAAGCGTAATTTCAAAAGTCAGAAGTTGCTCTTTTTTTTCCTCTTGGAAACAAACACTTTTGGGAGTGTCGATCTGCTCGAGGGTAGG